TACGTTCAATACAACGCACCGGTTTTTTTTCTGAACCTGTACGAGAAAGGAGTGAGACGGAACGGTTTGACAATAAAATAATGCGTGTGCGTGAAAACAATCGTTTGCTCCCTTTTAATACCAGGGAGATATAGGTCGACAGGAGATTAAGTTTCTGTGCAGGACACAGGCAACATTATTTTACTTCGATGTAGCTTGGCTTCGATAAAGTTTAAGTTTATTTAATGAATTTTCCATTCGTGTTTAAATAATAAAGGGAAAGGGGCCGAATATGTTTTTAAAATGAATATAATTATTATTGTTTTTTTTTCATGTAATAAATAATAAACATTAAAAATTAAATAATTCTTTTAAATTTCTTTTAATTAAGTTATTATTTTAAAATATATGATTGTTTTTAGAGATTTGTCATAAAATAATTAAAGTAGCTTTTATTTAATTAATTTAAATACTTGGCGGCGGGGTTGGGATTGCGTCATATGACGTCATTTTTCACCAGGATCTCATAGGTAGCCAGGAGTAACGATGAATTGTATAAGGAAGATCTAGGCGGCGACTGTAAGTTGAATATCTCTGATAATAAGGATCAATTAAAATATAAGGTAGCACTTAGGTAAATAAATTATGATTTGTAATAAGAATAATTAATTTTAACTATGCATTTTCAGGTTTTTACCATTTACAATTAAAACTGTGTGACCACAGACAGACAAAATGACTGATTGACTTCTTGTTTTAGAATACGAGTTACTAGGGTAACTGAATCAGCAGAAAGTATCCAACTAGAACGTTTAGTAATAGGTTCCTATTGCATGCGAGAAGGTATATAAATGAAACATTGTAACAACTTCAACGGTTTATGTTTTCCTGGTACCTTTACTTATTCCAACTTGCCTAAAGATACATCCAAATAGGAACTCATTTATTTTATTTATTTTTTATTTATTAAAAATTTGTTTGAGAAAGAGATGATGATGATTATTGGTTGGTTCCCTAATAATGTAGAACACATATAATATACCTACGTGACGTACCTTTAATATGTAGAGTTCCTTTGGGTTAAGACAGTTCTGCAGTTGTGTGAGCAAAAGAGTAATTTTTTTATGTTTTATATTTTCGTAGGCCACCGCGGCCCTTATTATTATATATTATATAATATGTATTGGACTAAAGTTATTAAACTTTTAACAAAAACCAATATGAAAAAAATTGTACACTTCGATTTTCATATAGATGAGAATAATTAGGTATATAATATTTTTTGAAGTAAAATCTTTTTGCGCACACTTGGGAGTAAGCTGATGAACGCGTGACGCGAGCGTTACGAAAAGTGCGATCGGGAAAGTCGAACGAAAATGAGAAGTAGATAAAAGTTAGTAAAGGTAGATAGAGAGAGTATTACGGTTCCTAGATTACTGTAAGGGCGAGGGGAAAAATAGTTATTCTGCGCTCAAATTTACTGATGTATCTACATATTATATATTTAAAAATATTAATTTATTAATGATAACCCAAAATGAATTCAAATATTAGTACAAAATTAATACGTGTGTTTGTTTATAACATGTCTGTATTATACATACATACATAAACAAATGCATATACGTATTACATACAGACGGAGTGAAAAAAGTTTTACTTCGGTCGTGTATTCTAAAGCACACTCGTTTTAATTTTTTTTCAGTAATATTTCTTTTAACTCATATTTTTTAATTCATTAAATGAAATTTATTCCTTTCAAACAAGTGCCAAGTTGCAGTGCTTTTCCCAGAGTAACGAAAGACCGGTTCAAGTTGAACCACTGCAACACGCAAGCGTGGTGCGCGGTGTGAGACAAAAATATAATAATTCAATGCATCTCGTGAGCGGAAATGAGACGGATATAATCAGTTGCATTCTTCTATCGCGTGTCTTGCATTATTTGCTTTCAAGGAAAAGTGGTATGAGGGCTTTATCTCTCGGGACCGCTGATGTCTTGGTAGCACAGTCAGCTTTGACGCATGTCACTGCGTTTATGGGCGTGTTTAAAGTAAACACGACCTAGTTTACTTAACCGATTAAATTATTTATTTATTTCTTATAATTTTTATGACATCTGCATGTGCAACATAGTTAGTTAGTTTCATTTTGAAACTGTTTTGATGAGTGAAGAATTATGAAATTCAGATATGGTGCATTACGTTCTTAACGTAAATTATTTTTAGTTCAGATGCAAAACATTAATTTAATTTGTTTTGCTAGTCAGACAACACACACGTCTGTGTTGGCTGCCACGTGTCAGAAGGGTTGAACATGTGGGCTACATGTACCAGGGGAGCATCGCCGCACTGGAGGTCGAATGTCACACATGACCCGCCCGAGTATGATCCCCACACTCGTAGGGTGTTGTTATATATGTGTGTGTGCTATCCTTCCACAAAACTGTATGTAACTGGAGTTGTATTTTCGCACACATTTAAGGACAAATACGACAACTGTAGAAGTAAGTTCCAAAAAATTACTATTTAATAAAAGTTTCATTTACAACAATTTATACCGGAATCGTAAATAAATAGTAGACTCAGTTTGATTTCGGAAAAATACATATCGTCAAATAAAATTAATTTATAAGACACATGTACATAGATGGTTAAATAAACATATAAAATTTAATCTCTTGAAAATGGTACAAAATGGATCTTAGAATATACATATATGTATATTTATTATTTTCCCATTGATTTACCAAAATTTTATTACTTGACTAATGTACCTACCTTTTGCGTAGCTGAGATCAAATAAACAGATACACATGTTGAAAATAAAATAATAGCCTTTAATACCTCTAATTGAAGTTTAAGTTAATAAATAAAATTAAAGAGTTTCAACGCAGATATACTGTATGTAGTTTATTTATAGTGTATTTATACAATATAACAATTAATTCACTATAAAAGTTCAATACTTTCAAGTCCAGTTGCGTCCACTCTGCTCGTAAATCTTTATCGAGTTAATAAAAATGAGAAATTTTTGCATTCAACACGAAACAAACTTTTATGGAAAGACCTTTCTTGGTAACTTTTTCTTCCATTCCGTGAGTCGAGTATCCGCACCTGGTAAGTTCATCCTTCTGTAACATTTCTTCTTTCTTTATGTTATCCTAGTAGAACAATACGGAATCGGGCCATTTTGTTCTTCTTTTTTCTTACGTTCTTTGGTTTATTTTTTTTGCAACGAAGGGCGCATAGGATGAAACAAAACCAACCTAGGGATCCCTTTCTCAGAACCATCTCCACCCAAGCCATGTATTCCTGGTACACAAAGTCATTGGGAGTGACATGTCCATTATTTCTCGCTTAAGAATTTCCCTTAGCGGGTCCGTCTTTATTTGATCGTTTAATTACTAATAATTTGCATCCCGCCTTTGTTTTTTTATCCGGGGAGAAAACAGAGATTTAATAATAAATAATAGGTCTCACTTAATTCCAAATAAATTATTATTTTATTGACAGAGCCCTTTTAAATTATTTATAATAAAACACAGAATACCAGGAACGCAAAGAATACGAGGAGTTTAATAAGGGCCTCGCAAGGGCCGGTCACAGCTACTTCAAGGTTTGTACGCACGAGGCGTGGTCTCATCGACCAATGGGGAGAGACCAACTTACGCAAGATACGCATCAAGGTCCCGTGCCCTAAGGAATGTACGGCTGTGGGTGTGAGGCTGTGTGTGTTATGCATGTGGGTTATGTGTCTGTGTGTGTGGGTGTTAAGAAACATTCGAATGAAACGGAAAATGTTTTTTTATTTTTGACTTTACTGAGGTGCATATTATCTGCCTTATTTTTAAGACTGACTAATTACCCCGTTTATATTCCAGATAAACTCTACAAATTTCCTTTACACATGATTAAAAGTTTCAAGTATAAAAAATATATAAAGTTTACAGTTCATTCAAACTCATGAGTCATGAGTATGGATATAACATACAATTATCAATGATTGTTGTATGTTTATAACATGGCAGTTAAAACATTAAGTATAATCAACCATCTTTTTTCAGTCTTTTCTTATTAAAATTCAAATTACATATATATCAAATATTCTGAAAATACAATACACACTGGTACCCACACACACATACATACATACACAGCCCTAATAAGATATAGTCGAGTATATTATGACAACTTAAAGTTGTTATGTTTCGAAGGGCTTCACGTCTGACAGATGTGTCAGCTGTTCTTAGTACAGTCGTGTAACTGCTGCCCGTTCATGTTCTCCTGGTACCAACGTCGATACAGTCGTAGCGGATCCGCCTCGTTTGTGGGAGAACATTAACAATTTAAATTTAATTTTAATTTAACAAGAGCTTTCCCCATCCGGTTATTAAAAAATAGTTTGTTTACATACCTACATTGTTTGGTCAATTATATTTATTATGTGGTTTTGGAAAAATGACCCAAATCAGATTTTAAAAAAAACATTTATTTAATATTTAAAAGTGGCAAGCCATAATATGTCTTATGTTATATAAAGTAGGGTTGTTTCTGGAATGACCTTTTTTGTATCGATAGTCAGCCCTATTTCGGTTATTGGAAATGTATCGGCGATCACTGATAATGTCGAACCAGTCGGAAAATACTAAGGCTGCAGAGACGACGAGAAGGTTAACTTAACAGAAATCAATACTTTATAATACGTGTCCGAAGCTATAGGGCAGGATGTATCGGTTGAAAACAGGTGAATGAAACGACACTCAGGCTCTGCGGGGAGCGACTCGATGGGGAATCTACGAACTAAAATGAAGAAGTTTATTCAGCAAACACTAAATTTAGACTTTACATAAATAAGTTTTTTGATATTTATTATATAAATTGGAATATTTAAAACGCAGCTAAAAATGTTACCAAGTTTATTTATTTATCTATTCACAAAAGCTAATTCTGTAAATTGCATACGTTTTAATTATCGAAAGGACGATCCGTTCTAAAAATAAAAAAGAATAATGATATGCGTAATTAGATCGACGAAGTATTAGGGTAGCATATTCTCGTAGCGTTGTTTGTAAGGGCTAACGCGAAAGGGACTGAACGTTTCTTTCTTCGTATTCCCTTCGTTGGCGAGACAGCAAGTATGTTTTGACTTGCGCACATTTCTCCTCCTGAAAGCTTACCATCTATCCTGATCAGGACTTCATAAGCTGTGAGGTGGGTGGGTCTCAGTTACGAGGACGGAAATTAAACCCTCTGCGATCATTGGTGGAGCGGTTTAAAATAAATACATCACCTGTCCAAACAATCACCATAAACATATTTTTAAGCTTCCCCTTAAAGTGTGAATGAATCTCCTAAGAGTTTAAAAATAACGTCTGGTTTCAGAGGAAAGGGTTAAACTTTGTTGAATTCGATCGACCAGGGCAGCATAACTTAGAAGCAGTGTTCGGAGAATTCGTTCGACACATTCTTTGTCTTGGAAAAGGGTCTCTATGTTACGGGAAACAAAGTTGTAAAAGAAGATGGAAAGGAAGGATCTCAAATATTCCGACGATTTTCAAGAATTTATATTATTAAATATTTTTTGCAGATGTATGTAATCAAATATTTTATCAAATTCCTTTAATAAGTTACCAGACTGTGTGTGTCATTATTATTTGTTCATATAACGCTATCCTTGCCTGTGTGTTTGAGCGCCTGGCTGGTTGGTTGCCAAGTGGCCGGCCGGCCGGGCCGGGGCAGGCGGCCACAGCACCAGGCGCACAGACACCAGCGGCGGTGGAGGAACTGTGCCCGCAGAGCGCTGTCTCTGTACGCATGTAGACTGTCTTGTGTCCTGTGATGTTTTGTTGTTTGTTTTCTGTCGTTTGTAGTTGTTGTAGGATGCTGACTGTTGTGTACTCTCTGTCGTGTGTTGTGTACACTGCGTTATGTGTCGGTGTTGTATTCTGTCATGTATTGGTCATATGATTTTGATGTGTCGTGTGTTATATGCACTGTTTCGAGTGTCGCATGACTCAGATACCGAATAAAGCCGCTCTCGAAGCGATGTGCATATTTACAATTGCTCTTTTCTTCGCCTTATGTGGACTGGCTCTTTTTATATTTTTACCTTATAAACCTAAAAAATATTGTAAATTATCAACCTTCAATTAAAGCCTTACAAACATTCCGTCTTATCGAGGACTCCTCGTTTTTGAATTTATTTAAAAAAAGCATCCTCTGCTACTTGTAACATTGAAATACCTCTGATTTAAAATCCTGTCAAAATCGGTTGAGCTGATATAGCGATTAGTTGGAACAAATTGACAAACAAAATAAAATGTATATACATATATAAATCTCCGTGTTCTGAAGTGCGACAGAATAATTGACATATTAGTTAGTTGTCAAATCTAATGTCAAAAGAAACATTTGTCTGGGAAATAGAATAGGGCTGTTTTTAAGGTTTTCCCCGGAAATGAATAATTTTTTTTAGCATTTAAACCTTCGCTGAACCTCCACGAACATTTCAAGACTAAGATAAAATAAATCCGTTTAGCCGTTCTCGAGTTTTAGTGAGACTAACGAACAGCAATTAATTTTTATATATATTTTTTAATTATAAAATTCAAAGTAATTTCAACATTTTTATTATTCAAATTTAAATCTCTAACACATGTTAAATTAAAAATATATTGGGTAAAATATATTGGAGAAAAAAATCTGAATGTAAATATTTCCTTATAAGCATGCCTAAAAGAATACTAGGTATACGAATATGTTAAATAATAAAAAAGTTGAGTAATTCATGCGATTGTATTTTATAGTAATATTGATAAGGATAATATTAACTTTACAAAGTTCAAAGTTCACGTAAAACTTTATTTGAGTGTAAGTATGTATAATAAAAATGATTTTATTTTAGCATTCCGCTAGACCAGTAGATAGTGGACGAGCAATAAACAAGAGATCATTAGTCACTGGACACGCAACGGAAATGACGTGACCTCCTTACCAGTTATTACAGATACGAACTGCTTTCATTGTATACGGGTTAGAACAAAACAATCAAATTATATTAGTATATTGACGAAATTATAAATCTTTTATTTAAATATTATATAAAGCTGAAAATTTAAGGCAATTTATGTCAATACTCTACTCTATGGTGAGTAATAAAACCTGGTTGATATTTTATATAAAATAGTAAGTCCCGTGAATGCGGGGTAAACGGGTTACTGGGCCGTTCGGGGGAGGTGTAGAGGGAGGCGGGGGAAGGGGTGTGGAGGGACCTTTATAAATGGAGCCCTCACGAGCTATGCTGCCCTGGTAGACATTTATTTTTATGGGTACGGATAAATGTCAGGGGAGTGCCGGGGAGACGCCTTATGGCGTTATGACTTTCAGCTTTAACGTCCCCATCAAACCGTAAAAAATATACCTAATAGTGAAAGGGCTGGGCGATGACCATGAAAATAATCACCAGTATTTTTTAGTTCTATGGTATTATTTATATTATTAAATGGAAAAACTTTACATTATTTAATTCTTTGAATATATAAAAATACATTTCGAAATTTTTCATAATGTAACCACGTACGTAAACATAAACTCATTAATAACACAATGTAAATAAAAAATTATGATTAAAGAAACCTCAACCAAATACATATTTTACTGTGGTGTGGGCCAAATGTTTATTGAGTCTCTATCTCTCTAGTCGACGCTATATCCTTATATCTTCTGTCGTCCTGGTAAACAGGGAATATCAGCGCCCCATATTTCTCACGCTCGCACCCATTGAACCCTCAGGAGCTGATCCCGTCTCTCTCTATTCCCTTGGAAACACCGCTCGCACGTTAAGGCTGCATGGTGGGAACATCAACGGTCTTGGGATGTTTTTATATTAAGAAAACTCTTGATACTGATGCAGGTATAAAATATATAAATTACCAAGCATCAAGGTTTTTTATTTTTAATTTTTAAAAAATATAAATTGCTTTTAGGTATAGTGCGTTTGATTTAAGCTGAGCTTTGCATTTGTGTGAGTGTACACGGATAGTGTAGGTGTGATGTCAAATTTTTGAATGAAATGTTCTTTTCTAGTTTTGAACCGGTTTATTCTGCTTTTACTCCGCCCTACACCTTCCTCATTTCACCCTTTGCGTTGGTAGTGAAATCAAATGTTAAAAACGCAATGTCAAGTGAAGAAAAAATTTTAAATTTTTTTCAAAATTTTTATTAATTAATAAGTAATTTCTTTTACATTTTTTTTTTTCAAATTTTTTTATTAATTAATAAGTAATTTCTTTTCCATAATATTCATAATATTTCATCTGGCCTTTAACAAGTTTTGCTTATTTTATTTTTAATCTAGAATAGCTCTAGCGCCTATGTTATGTATCTATTTAAAATATAATAATATTTAATTCTAAAGTTTTTTGTCTTACTCTACTTTTACTTTCAGTCACACAAATGCAAAGCTCAGTTTAAGTCTAACGGACTATACCTTATTCAGATAAATTTTGTACTTATGATAAATTAAATTTATTACTTTTCCATCAATATGTATATTTAATAAACGGCCCAACTAACATTAAAATATAAATCAAAAACGCGTAAACTATTTACGGTGTAAATAAATTATGAGCTATGTTATCTACATATATCATATTAATTTGTTCGACATTCCGCCCATTTATGAAATCGTGTAGCTTGTCATGTTGACATTTTGTAATTGTATGTGCGTGGGTGAATAAAAAAAAGTATAGTAGAATGTATTTATTTGTTTTTTATTCGATATAAAAATATGGCATGTCCACTTTGCTTAATATATTTTTTCACATAAAATAAATAAATTTTTGAACCGTCCAATTTTTGTTAATACATACTTAATAATAATTATTTGGGGTTTTAAACTAAAAATGTACAAACAGAGACTTGATATATATTCTTAACTATACATTATAAAGTACAGTGTAATTTTAAAACGTTTAAATAAAAATCAAATTATATTTGTCAAGACTTTTACAAATATTCCAAGTGGTATTCTATAAACTTCCTATTGGTATAACCCTATCGCTTTGAGAGTGTCATCGGTTCGTAAATGTCATGCTGTTTAAAATAAATTATCGGTTATATTATTAATATGACATAATACGTCTTACATTGATACGAAAACTTTTGTTGATAAAACAAATAAGTTTATATTTATTAAATATATGCTTATCAAAAATAATAATTTAATGTCTGTAATTAAAAACAAATAATAATACTTCTCCTTTCATGACTAAGATAATAACGATCTCTATATTACGTTTATCAAATACAAAAAACCTTATTATAAATTGCTGTAATAGTTTTACTTATATCATTCATATTGTGATTATATTTATTGAAAAAGTATTAAAATGAAATAAATAAATAAATATTAAGTTTAATATTATTAACTTATAAAGTCATTGCTTCATGTTATTATATAAATTAATAAGTTTGTCCGTATAAATCTGATTGACTATTTCATTATTTTATAAATATTTATAAAATGAATTTATGCGAAACATTCTTAGTAAAGTTAATGTGAAAAAAAGATAATGACTCATTTTATTATATATTTTTTTATAAATGGTGCGTAATATTATATAACAAAGTAATGTAATTTTAATTTATATTAACCTTATATATTTTTTTTATTAAATGTATTTTGGTTCTATCAACACAATGAGTAATTTCAGTGAAGTGAGTTATTAGCGGTTGCCAATAATATAAAAGCAAGAATTTTACCCTGGAATTTTGTATACTTTAAGGACTAAAATATAATTATCCTTTTGATATTCAGGATAAAATAAAAAATAAAAGTGCCGGCTAGATAAAAACGGTTAATGTTGCCAAGTTACAAAACAATATATCTCTCGTCTTTAAATTGTTACGTATGTAACAAAATATTTGACAGATTTAATGGAGCTTTATGATGCTCTTTATAATTTTATTATAAATTTAAGGCGATCAAAACTTGGTGAACCATTTTATTGTTATTAAAAAAAATTTAATCAAAAATATGAATTCTAAGTATTTCATTTATGTATTTTATCTGATTTGCAAATATTTTTGTTTGTTTATTTAAAATATGGCCTTCATCCGTGCAAGAAGAGCACAGTATATTCTGCCAGTGTCGTTACAAATATTTTAAGCACTATTTTTCTATTGAAATTATTGTTTTGACATTGAAAAATCATCAATTACAAATTTACCGGCCAGTTAGTTTGTGAGTTGCGTGTAAAAATGAATATAATAGCTTTTAAAAAAGGTTTTACAAAGAGTCAACCTCCTTTTATTAATATGTAAAAGTATGTTTATACATTGAACTTACCTGATAACGTGGTTGTTATCACGACGAGGAGCAGCAGCTTCATCACTACGAACGGTAAATACGTTGTTTTGATATAATTATCGCGACACAAACATTTACGATTGCAATACTTGAGATAAATTACTTGACTTTGACCTTAATATTATTAAATTTAAAGTTTCCTGAACGTAACCATCAGATTGGAATAGGATTTAATATAAATATTGTATTAAATATAATAAAAAGTTTCTGTTAAACGCATGATCCTAAAGCAACTTTGATGACTGTGTATGAGTCGTCGAAAATCTACAGTCGTCTGATATGCGTTCGTCGGTTTGTTAGCCGTTCAACTATTCAGTGGTATGAAAGAGGGACGGCTTTCAGCGCAACTCAACCCCACCCTCGGTGGTGGGAATGGGGCCAGGGAGCAGCCGAGCCCCATAAAGAAAATTGTCTTGACTCCGCTAATTGAAACAATATTTGTTCTAGCCGGTGAAAATTAACTTTGTGTCAGGTGACGTGATTTACGTTTAAAAAACACGTTCCAGGAGGTCTTTGTATCGATGTTTTAATTGGAACCAGCTTAATAAAACTTTGACATAACAATTTAAGTATTGCCTTTAGTTTAAGCGAGGTAAACTAATTAGTAACAAATCGTTGTTGAACTTTATTTGATAGTTTGATAGTGATGGGTCATGAATTGAGGTTTTTTAAAGTGATAATTATATTAAAAAGAACACATTGAATTATATATTATGTTTGAAATAAATTTATGACTGTTAATTAATGTTTTAGGACTACGTCCCGTATTTAAATCTACATTGAATCCTTTCTGTATCGTGAACATCGAATATATATAAAGAGTTCAATATAAATGAGGTTCCACATCCTCCTAAACCTAATTTTGGCATCTATAAACAGGCGATAACCTTAACAAACAAAGCCATTCGCCTAATTGGACGTTGGGAAGGGACTTACCAAATGTTAGAGCGAGCAATCATGTCGCGACATTTACTTTACTAGCCCCGCTCGTTTGAACACGGCTCTAATGAGACTCAGATACACTCTACCGACCTTTACATTATGAACCTCAACCGTTTTTTGTGTTTTTATTTTATTATTACTTCTTCGACTTTTATTTCATTGACTTATCATAATAGGAACAAGAAATCACAATGTTACTAAGCTTGTAAAAATTGCCTACAAATATCATTTCCGATTCGAATGTCCTATAACGAAATATCTTATGAAGAGTTCGTAAAACTTCTACGAGGCATTTAACTTCTTATTTTGACTATACGGTTTCTTCTGTATTATAAACGTCACGTTTCTTCTGTGCTGTAAAGATTTTAAGTTAGTTTCGTTCCAGTTAAGGTTTAATGAAATTAAATACTTTGAAAGCTGCCCTAATCGGTTCTTTACAAATTTGGCTAGGTAGAGAGAAGAGGTTGGACTCTTGAGGTGAGCGTTTCACGCATGTTAGATAGGGGTCTTTAAATCTTCAACAGTACCTAGATCGCGAGGCCTCAGGCACTGTTGAAGCTCTTCTCCCTGCAACGCGATGAACCCGGCACCAGGACGGAGAATCCATGGATTGCTGAGAAGTTTTGTTTCTTTGTCAACGATTATTATTTTTAATCCAGTCACGATAACAAATTATAATTGACACAAAAGTCTTGTTATCGGCTCTATTGCATGAATTATTAAATTGGAATATACAGATAGTCACCGTACGTTTGCAAGCAAACATTACTTAACAACCAATATTTTGGAGGGAAAATATATCGTCCATTTTGACAGATATATCATGTAACGTCACTAATGGAAACCGGCCGGATGGATGATTGACGTACAAATATGCGATTGCCTGTCGTGACATGGGTTTAGGTTAGCGTTAAAATTGGAAATTCAATTGGCATTATACACTTAGTGTCAAGTCATCAGAACTACTCTTACTTACTGTCAAATACAGGAGATATGCCACAGTGTGTCGTCACAGAAAGTGTGGAAAGTAGCCCCCTAGTTGTAAATCCTATAAGCTTCTAATTTTATTGCTACATCATAGATTAGCAAACTACTCCTACGAATAAACATCAGATCATAAAGCTTAAACCGAATAACATTTATCTTATGCAGAATCGTTTTTACTTCAAATAAATTCAAGTAGACCAGTTAGGCTGCTTAAGACTTGACGGTGTTCCCGGGATTTGATATACTATCACCAGTGAGTGAGCCGCTGATTATTATGCGATGGATTCGTAGCAGTTGGGTTTGTAATAATACTAATAAATATTATAGAAGTGTTTGCTGGTAATTTAGAATTAAGTTTTTTGGCTGAACGCATATGAAAATATATAAGCCTGCATTTTTCTAAAATGTTTCTGTTCCAATTCTGTTTGATTATTCCAGCTGATCATGAAAAGCAGGTTTAATTTGACTGTAATTTTACTTGAAAGTACTTAATGTTACAAGGAGTATCTTTATCTACATTTAATTGACTTCGGGGAAATAGATCGCCATTTTTTTAAGTTGTTAGGTACTTATATACTTCCTCAAAAATTTACAAAATATTTTATAATCGAAAGCATCCTTGAAAATCCTCATATGCCTTGAGAATAATGTAATTTGACCTATTAAAGATAATAACACTCAGAAAAAAGGAAATTTAAAAAGCTATACACAACACGTAGTTGATAAATAAAAAGCTGATTATGTAAACATTTTTTTTATTAATAACTGAAATTTACATCGGTTTGTTAAATACAATTACTTCATACTCATGATAACAAGCTGCGGACGATACTAGAACACTATTACGAAGTTTAGATAAATGTAGTAATAATATTTTAATATCATCCGATCTATAAAGACCACTTCCATTTAATTTGAGCAGTAGTCGAGATAGTTTGATAAGGCTACACAGTAAATATTGGATTTAAATTGAAAACGACACAATACTACACGATTAATGTCAACAAAAATTTATAGTGCTTTATAAAGTAACAATCAAGGATAAAGTATAGAGAAACAGAAATATTATTAAGACAAATCTTAGAAAAGTAGAAATATGGAAGTTATCTGCTGAATTTATCTGAAAATATTACATCAAAATTTTATATTTCGTTAATAATAATTATTATTTAAATTAATCACCATCGCTGTAACATACAAACACATCAACATACATTAAATTAAACATTATGCAATTTAAGTCACTATACATCTAAGAAAACATTAAGTATTGTACATTTATATTAATGCGAGATAGAACCGCCTCTGTTCAGTAAAAAAAAGAATGCTTCACAAACACAACGTTTAAAATTTCGTTTACAGCCAACGAAAACGCTCGAAATTTATTAAAATTACATCTAATAAATATATATTATATTACAACAGACAATAAAAAAAACTGGCAGTAGTTATTATACAGAGACCAACACACACACATCTTAACGCGCTACACCACTCTATACTATTTCTATCTATGACTATATACATCATGTACACAAATTTATCTACCATTTTTCTCTAAACATTTTCTATTAACCTCCTCATTGTATATCATAATAATAAATAAAAATGCTATTTTAACAGGTGCTAACGTTACATTGTATTTATGAAAAATTTTAAAAATTATTACACATTTAAACACTATATAGGCCGTCGAATGGAGAAATAACTCAATTTTTTTGTTAGATTTTGGTAAAAAACGAATTAGATTATAATATAAATATGTAACACAATCCTTTAACAATAATTAAGTAAGTAAAATACAATTGGAATAAATAAATTATAAGAATTAATCATCAAAGTGTACGTTCTATGAAAAATTTGACACAAATTAATTTAATATCATCTTTTGTCACATATTAATAAAAATATAATTTAAATTATATAAAATATAATGAACTCAAAAGCGTATTCGCTTTCGGTTCATTTAATTGACTATCTTAGAAGGTCAGGTGAAACAGAAATATTATCATAATATTGTATTATTAAACATTTTAAAACATTAAAAATATTATTAGAAACATTTTCCTACATTCATTAAACAATTGTAAGTTCCATCAGCGGGTTCAACATCTATACTTAATATACACCACTATGGTTACAATGGGATTATAAAATTTCTATAATTCATTTGGAGATATGCCTTCGGACTGGGAGTTTGTATGAAATTTGAAATTTCGATCCATTCCATTAAGTAGCTGCAGCATTAAACATAGTATTATTAAAATAATGAGTGAAAAGTAACACAGTGATCAAAATTTCAAATTTATATATGATCTTTGACCATATCTTATACAATTCGCAGCACAATATATATAAATAATTATTTATTAAGAGATTATTAGTTATGTATTATTAAATATGTACAATGTTTAAAAATCACATAGACAATGAAAGAAATATTCAAAAATTTGCTATACGTATTATATGATAGAAAGATCTTTGTCAGAAAATAAATTGAAGGAATAAAAAAAAAAGTGAAATTAAAATATTACAATAGATTATAATTTTTATCTGTCTGAAACCAGAATCATGTAAATTAAAATAATTAAATAATAATTTAGATTCAAAATCTTCAATGTTCATTGATTGAAGTCACATAAATTTTTTTAATTACAAATTCATCATTATTCAAAGAGATGGCGCCAAAATTAATATAAATGGCGTTTTTAAATCTGATTGCTCTCATTTCCAATGATAGCGTTCTTATCAGCGGCTCGGTACAGCGGGTTTTTGTTCTTGATGGGCAAAGGATGTGCTTCTGTGTTGAACACCCATTCGTTCAATGGAAGTAAGGAGTCCTCGGAGAACAACAGGTAGAGGTACTGGAAATATATAACAAATAGCAGCATATAGTTATTGGTTAATGCTTCTAATGTAATATAAGAATGGATTTGTTGATAATGATTTCTAGTTGTCTCAAATATTATATGACATATTTGTATGTACATACATATGCATAGATTGAAGATATTATATAAGTGTGACTGAATATGTTACACATGTGTATGAATGTGTGCATGTTTTAGTACGCTCATGTGTGTGTGTGCGTGCGTGCGTACGTGCGTGCGTCTGTGTCTGCGTCTGTGTCTGCGTCTGTCTGTGTGTCTGTCTGTCTGTCTGTGTGTCTGTGTGTGTGTGTGTGCGTGCGTGCGTACGTGCGTGCGTCTGTGTCTGCGTCTGTGTCTGCGTCTGTCTGTGTGTCTGTCTGTCTGTCTGTGTGTCTGTGTGTGTGTGTGTGCGTGCGTGCGTACGTGCGTGCGTCTGTGTCTGCGTCTGTGTCTGCGTCTGTCTGTGTGTCTGTCTGTCTGTCTGTGTGTCTGTGTGTGTGTGTGCGTGCGTGCGTGCGTGCGTGCGTGCGTGCGTGCGTGCGTGCGTGCGTGTGTGTGTGTGTGTGTGTGTGTGTGTGTGTGTACCTTAAGCGTTTCAGCTAGGAAGAAGCTCTGTTGTACGTCGTCCCCTTGCGGCGAGGCGTGGTACACGTTCAGTAGACCGGTGTACCCTCCCTCCACTCGACAATGCTTCTCAAGAGCCTGCAACATTTAGTTATTATATTTTACATTTATTATGAACAAATATTGGAACGTTTTTACTAATGGTAGAAAATTTTTATATATCCACACATTTAAACATTATCTGATTTTATGTTTATGTAATTCTGATTTATCTCTTTTATTAATATAAACGCCATCTATATGTCGTGTTCTTTAATAACTATAATATGTTTCTATAAATAATGAATTATTAATTTCTTGTTATCTCTAATTACAATATATTGACACTTTTTTTATACATTTTGACGTTATTAAAATACTTTATATAAAGTCTAATTTTATAGTAATAATATATAGCTCTTACTATAGTTATAATATATTACTATAGTAAGAGCTATTTCCCAAAGATGGTTGATTTCCCAAAGATGCTTGATGTCAGGCAGGCGACCGGTCGTAAAAACAATTAGCCAAAACTATTCACAACATGTAAGGCATTCCCTGGCTAAAGTTGGGTAATTGCAAGTAGAAGAATATAGTAAGAGCTACAAAGATATTATCATTTTCAATACCAAAGGTCCTATTGAAGTACTAAGTTATTGTTAGTGTGTACCTGAACCGCCTCCCAGCCCCAGTCTCTATACTTCTGATCCTTGGTGAGTCTCCACATGATGAAGTAGCTCTCGAAGGTTTCTGGTCGCAGTAGGTACATCTTCTCATTACTCTTCATAGCGCGAGCTTCTACGGCGCCAGAGAATCTGAGAATATATGTTAACAGTTGTTATAAGAACTGCGTTTGGGTGAGCAATTATAGTAATATATATGTATATATAAATTGTAAGAATATTATGAGGCTTAAATCCAGTTTTATTATAACCTTCGAATATTTATTACAAATGTTTGATAATTCATTGTATGCAAAAAACTTTCTATCAGTCGGGTTTTAAAAAATATATTACTTTATCTTATTTTTGACTTTTTGATGACTATGATAATAAAAATTCTTAAATATACTACACATAATGTATACGATAAATAAAAATTTTCTTAAGAGCCAAATGTTTCTAAAGGTCAGAGATCAAGAAACACAGATAAATATATTTGGAAATGAAATATTTTTTATCAAAGGTCAGGTCAGGTGATTATTGAGAATTAAATAAATATTTTTGCAGAAAAGTTACAACAAATACACAATATATTACTTGATAATTTGACGGGAAAATACTAAGAGTAATTTCATTTGGACCATGGTCAAAGTTTTTTTTATATTGTTTTATATATGAGATAATTTTTATAATAGTTTTGTTTTTCTATTTTCTAACCTGAATGCCTCCGGTCCGAGTTTAGTTTCTGAGCGGTCGTAGCTTTCGTGACATGTGTGAGTCAGTTTGCGAGCCACGTCCATGTATCGCTCAGACAGAGAGTTTGACATTGTTGTTGAAGCGAGAGCAAACATACCACCTGGGAGAGATTTACGAGTGAAAATAAGAAAAGAAAAATGAAGAATAGACTATGGAAAGGTATAATATGGATATGTAACCTGCGAAACACGATAAATGATCCATTTTCTCTTCAAATATCCTGCCGTATTTGACCTCCGCGAGGTATGCGAGCCCTGAAGGGGATGTCCTTAGCATCTTGTCGAGGGCGGCCTGCATCGCTTCATCGAACATCTCTCGAGCCTGAACGTCCTCGTTGTCTGATAGGATCCAGGCCTTCAACAGATACTCGTAGAAGGAATCGCCTAGCGCTCCAAGAGATGTGTGCTCTGGAAAAGTTATTATAATGCTATACACATGTAAATACATATATGTATTAAGAATGATGTCATTCTTTAAAAATCATATAATTCTGTATATATTAAGGAAAAATTTCAAATCGTAAAAATGTGGAAGAAAAAAGAAAAATTAAATTCGTCTGATAACGTAAAACTATAAAATAAGTATCATTTAAAGCAATTTTTTCCATAAAATATCACAGTAATACTGATCGAATTTATTTTATGCATGAATGAGAAATCTCTTGTAAATAACAAAGAGATTTAAACATTATCGATTTACACCCAAGTACAAGTTTTAGCACACGTTTTAATTATCCTTATCTAGTGAATGGTTAATAACAATTGATTACAGTAATGAGTGACTCGCTCGATGTAATTGATCACATAAACTCCGTTGATTGTTTTGTTCCTTGGTTAATATAACAGACTGTTAGTTGTTTTATACGCTTGAATTAAATATTAATAATACGCGTAATGATTTCATATGTAATTGAATAGATCAATGTACCTAGTTTAATTTGAAATAAATTTATTACAGTACTTATTTTGTCTTCAAAGCTGTGTTATATGTATTTAAGAACCCTTATAATAAGCTTTGTTACACTACATATGTAATGTTTCCCGTTCCTCATTCAATAACCTACGTTAATACTATAATGTGAGAAGATTATGAATGAAATACTGTATGTAAATGATTTGTATTGTTGTTAGTGTGACGATGTAAACTCGTGCTAAGGTGAATGATATTTTAAGTAAATATCAAACGTAAAGATAAGACTACAGAATTAAATTATTAATAATTTGGATTTGGATATACATAGAAAATAATTATATATTTTTTATGTAGCTTGTATTAAAGAGTTTTATCAACATTGAAAAACTTGCTAAATAAAATAAATACAACCGGATAGAGTAAAAACAAATTTTAAATCTAAAACAACCACAAATTCAACTTTAACCGGAATTCTAGGCTACAATTAAACTTTAACCAGACTTTATAACTTTGTAGTCGGTTACAAAGTTAAATCTACAGTCTCTGGTTTAGTGACAAGCTTAAATAAAATACATTTAAAATAATTATATAATAGTGATTTACTTCAAAGTTATCGATAATTTCGATTCTATAACGATTATCGACTTATCGGTAGTAGTGATGTGAAACAATACGATAAGTATTAGATTTAAGTATGAAATCAGAGAAAGGTTTTTTAGTATAAATCATAATTTTAAATAAATATATTAAAAGAGACTGATACTAAGGGTACTTATAGTCACAGTAATTAACTAGAAACTGCACCGTTTGCGGTAAATTGTTCAGAATATATGAGACTTTTTCTAATTAAACAAAAGTGATAAAAAGTATTGGTTTGCGATAAGTTTGAATACTGTTTTTATATGTAGAGGTTCTTCTGTACCTGATGAAATAAAAATTCTAATCTATGGATAAAAAAGTACATTACTATTTTTCCAAAGATATCTGTATTTTCTATGAGTTTGTCTTTTTCAAACAAGCTCGATGTCTTAGCCCTATCCATTTGGATACCTATTTAGGTATTCAAATCAGTATATATACATATATTCGTAATGACAACTAATCTGTTATATACTCACTCTGCCCCCACTGCCCGTTCCTTGGATTGATGTAGTTGGGATAAAGACCTTCTGGCTTCTGGATATTGTGAAGAACATCACGAATACGTTCCACCTTCTGTCTGTACACTGAATATATACAAAATATTTATATATACATACCATTGATACTATAAACAATTATTGTTTTACGATCAGAACATTTGAATGCACGATTTTTCATATACAGGGTGACTGGTGAATTACTATCGATATTTGAGGACGTGATATTTGACGATCATATATGACAAAATAAAAATTAATATAACATAAATATTAATAAACTTCTAAGTAAAGTTAACCAAAAGTTATGTAATTAATTACGCATCGTGTGAGCACCCCACAGATTAGGTATACACTCACACTCACACATACGCGTGTCGTGACGTAGTGTTGTATCAACACGCCGCCGCACGCGTCCACACTTGAACACTTGGAACGTGTCAACACTTTATTTATTCATACGGAAATTTTGTCAAAAATTAAGTGCCTATTTTTTTTACATAATTCGAATAAGAATTATGTACCGAGTATTCTCCTTAAATATTGATAGTAATTCACCAGTCACCCTGTATATTTTAATAGTTTTTCATATAATTTTAACTATTTCTAATATAAATCAAACTCACCATCTTTGCCGGTCACGTCACTGAGATATGTGAACTCTAGATGAAGGGTGCCTACTTCAGACAGTATACTGTTAGCGCCTGCCCAGTGATACTGACGATTAGCCTAAAAAATACATTAATATCGTTATATACAATAAAATACCGCGTGATAAACAAGTACCGCTTGCAAAACAATTACACTGATTGAGTGCGCAGGTTACAAGTAAACGAAGACTGACTTAATGCTATTTATTATATATAGATTACACATATGGATGTTGCACGTTCAATGCTTCGTTACGCACTGATGATCTTGACCGAGTCCCGCGTTCTCGCGTCGTAGCTAATAGTTTATATGAGGCGTTTACATTCTTGGTAATTGGCTCCAACATCCTCCCCCCCCTCGAAATCCTTCGATGTTCGAGTGACGTCCCTTGAATTTTCTAAAGAACAGAGGTTGTGTACAGCTCTACGGACGACTCCCTTGGAGGTGAAGACATCGGCGACTCTAGCAATTCCATCGGATCCTGGATAAAGTTTTTGGATTCGTGCCATTCGCCACTTAAGAGGTGGTAGGTTCGCTTCCTTTATGATGACCAGATCGCCTTCCTGGAATCCCTTTCGCTCGACTCTCCACTTAGACTTCTGCTGCAATTCGCAGAGATATTCGTGCTGCCAGCGATCCCAAAAATGTTGTCGCATCCTTTCCAGAAGTTGGTATCGGTTAAGTCGATGTGGATTGAAGTTCATCAAGGTTTCGGATGGCAGCGCTGTTAATGGTTTACCGATCAGAAAGTGCGCAGGAGTCAAGGGATCTAGGTCAGTGGGATCCGATGAAAGAGGAGTTAAGGGCCTGGAATTAAGGATTGCTTCAACTTGCGAGAATAAAGTCGATAGTTCTTCAAATGTGAAATGTTTATCGCCTAATATACGTATTATGTGGTGTTTCGCAGCCTTAATGCCTGCTTCCCAAAGATCCCCAAAGTGAGGGGAGAAAAGTTAAATTTTATGCCTTGCTCAGCGGCAAAACCTATAATATCTTCACTGTTTTTTAAGAGGTTGGTTAGAAAGTTATTTGCGCCAACAAAATTGGGACCATTATCGCAATATATTTCTAATGGTTTACCGCGACGAGCTACAAAGCGTCGCAGACACAAAATGAAACAATCAGTCGTCAATGCTAGCTACCTCAAGGTGCACGGCCTTTGTACTAAAGCAAATAAACAAACACATATAGCACTTCGTAATCCGGCAACCGCGACCTTTGCGGTCAGTGATGTGAAATGGGCCACCGAAGTCGACTCCACTAATGTGGAATGGCCGACTTGGAATGTCTCTATTTGACGGCAAGTTTCTGCCTCTTAAAGGCTAAAAATTATTTCTGATGTCATTTAATAAAAGTCCCCAACTTTGTAAAAGTTTTAAATGAAAATATAAAGGTTTTAAATGAAAATGATCGGACGTAAACGGCAGACGCATATGCTAGCTGAGAGGCATCAGAAAGCCTGAAGCTCAATTCGAATTGCTTGCGGTAAAAGAACGCACCTAGGTATTTGAAAATTGGATATTGAAGCTAAGTTCGACGCAAAGTCTGTCCATTGTTTGAATATAGATTTATCCACTGGATCATCCCAAGTACATTTTCGATAGCCACAGCCTCTGTAAAATTATTTTAGGGATGATGGTGCATAGGCTGAGTAATCCCAGTGGATCAAAAAGCTTTGCTGAGTTGGACAAGACTGTCCGTTTTGTGGCAACTTGATCAAGTTGCAACTTAGCTGAAAATTGCGATACGTCTCTCGATGGATCCCAATTCAGACCCAAAACTGTCGAGTGAGACATATGGTCATATTGATGATGACATATTTTAATTTTATGTGTGGGTTCATCGCGCCACTGAATTAATTGTAAATGTTTTTGCTTTGGAACAACTAGTATTTGACGATTCATCTTTTCGACGTCTGCTGACACGACATATCGATGCTGCCTATGTCGTAAAAGAATTGAAAATAAATCAAAAACCTGTACTACAGGTCCGATATATTGTACATCATTGAACGAGACACCAGAAGATGTCTTTGAAGAGGCATCGAATACGACACGAAGCTTAGTAGTCTCGCTAGACTCTCGAATGACAGCGTGATGGGGCAAGTAGCATCCAAATGCTGGTCGAGGAACTTCGGTCATATGACCTAACTGTTCATATTCGTGAATGAATTCAAGATATTTTTGTTTAAGAGCTGGTTTAGTCTTAAATTTCCTTTCTAATTGCAACAAGCGTTTTTCAGCTATATTGTAAGAATCACCCAAGCACTGAGTAGATTCTTTAAGAGGAATTTGAACACAAATTCTACCGTGAGCATCTCGATAAGTAGTATTTTTAAATAAGTTTTCGCAATAATCATCGGTAAGAGATTCGACATTAGAAGGCACCTCTTCGAGTTCCCAGAATTTACGAAGCTGCTGGCTTATATCCAATGAAAAATGACAAAATGATTTACGATTCTTACTGTTACTATGAATAGCAGTTGGACCCGCTACTATCCATCCCAGCTTCGTTTCTTGCAAGATTGGGCCTTGAGGTCCTAAATTTATCCTGCTTGATTCCAACAAGTCCCAAAATACATCAGCACCCAATAAAAGATCAATATCGGAAGGTTCAAAGAACTTTGGATCGGCAAGTTGGACATGACACGGAATGTCCAAATGTTGTACGTTTACTGCAACATTGGGCAATCTATCAGTGATGTGAGGTAGCACAAAACATTTGACACGCATAACTAACGAACCGTTTAACGACCCTATATCTAAATAGCAATGTTTTGTGACATTGAAGACACTACTTCCTATACCTGATACGCTATGGTAATCAGAATCAAAATGTTGCGAACCTGTTTCCCTTAGAGCCCTGACAGTCACAAAAGAAGACTGACTGCCACAATCTAGTAAAGCTCTTAATATGCAAGTTTTACCGTTACTCGTCACCTTGACTAAAGCAGTAGAGAGAAGTGATTGATTGGTAGAAATTGCAGTCATGGAAACCGAAGCAGAGCTACTCGGCACTTCGGAATCGGTAGCGACCGTGGCGGCAGGTGATAGCGTAGGTAAGTTTTTACTATTATTATCACTTTGCTCTTGAATTTTAAATGATTGCTGTATAGAATTTTGTTTATGTATTAAAGTGTTATGTTTTTTGTGACAAATTCTACACCCACCCATCCTGCACTGATAGGCTTGATGCCCCTGGCGAAGACAATTGGAGCATACATTTAGTAATTTAAGTTTATTAATTCGATTAGAGACTGGTAGTGACTTAAATGTGTTACACTCGTATAATTTGTGATTCTGTTTACAGAGAAGACACTGCGCGGAGGGTGATGGTGATTCTATAGAAGAACTAAGGAATGATTTTGTGTTGGAGAAACTAAGGCGTTTATCAACTTTACTGGGTTTATTAACATTCATTGTTTCTAATACCATAGAACGCTTTCGAAGAAAATCATAAAAATCGTCCAGTGTGGGCGCGTCTTTATTACTTCTATATTCCTCCCACTTCCGAGAAGTAACACTGTCTAATTTGGCAGAAGCTAAAAAAATAATTAACGTATCCCATTTTTCCGTCGGTTCACCTAAAATATGTAAGGCGTTTAGGTTTTTCGATAATGTATCGATAAGGTTACGTAAACCACTGTGGGATTCCTTAGTTAAAGATTCGATGGAAAACAAGCACTTTATGTGTTCATTTATCAAAAAACGTTTGTTATCATATCTCTCGCATAACAATTTCCATGCGAGGCTATAGTTATCGGATGAGACACTGACTGAGTTTATGACAGCGCTAGCCGGCCCTTCCAAGTACGTCTTGAGGTAGTGAAACCTGTTAACGTCGTCAATCGTTTCATTGTTATGTACTAACGACACATATGTATCCCTGAATGACAACCATTTGTTCGCCTCACCATTAAAGGGAGTGATTTTAATTGGGGGCAATTTTAAATGACAGTTCGGACGACTTTTGTTAGATGAAGATTCTAATTTATTTTTATTTTCGAAAAAATCGATTAATGACTGAGCTTCGGCTGATAAACGAAAAAATATATTTTCATTAAATTCGCGTTCTTGCATTTGTTTTGACGTATCTTCATCCAACATTTCAATCTGCGATTGAATATCATCAAAAGTGCATGATAAATCACGTATCTTGCTTAAGCGCAAGCGCAATTCATTCACCTGTACTAAACTAATTTCTTTACACTCTAACAAAGGTTTTAAATATTTTTCAAACAATGTTACACGAGCCTTAATATGTCCCCTTTGTTTGATAAGTTCCTTTACGTCACTCATAATGACGGTGCAATATTTAAAATATTATAACGCTTCACGTATATATAACGAATCAGATGTTAATAACTACGATGTAAAGAATTAAATAAACCGCGAAACACCATATAACACAAGCTATTTGTACAAACAACAATTTTAAGAATAATTTTATTAACAAAGAATTTTATATTATGTACCGATATCATAAAAAAGTTGACGGTGGGCGAAAAATAAAATTATCATATAAATTTATTATATAAATTTTACTCACGCGAGTTGAAGCAAAAAAGGATATATAAGTAGAAAGGATGGATGCACTTCCCTCGGAAACAGTGGCTGCAGCTGGCTGCTGGCGAATTCTCGAAGGATAGCTCCGCCCGTGATATTTTCGTGATGACGTAACAACAGTTTGGCTGCGAGTCCGTTCCAATTCGAAGTTGATCACGTCGGGGTCACCAAAATGAGTGCGCAGGTTACAAGTAAACGAAGACTGACTTAATGCTATTTATTATATATAGATTACACATATGGATGTTGCACGTTCAATGCTTCGTTACGCACTGATGATCTTGACCGAGTCCCGCGTTCTCGCGTCGTAGCTAATAGTTTATATGAGGCGTTTACATTCTTGGTAATTGGCTCCAACACTGATAATATCTTATAAAATTAGGTGAAGTCACACTTTGGTCTGAAATAATCCTATAAAATTTCTTTTTTTTTCAATCAAAAATATAATTACTATCTCAATTATAATTTCACTACTTAAACTCCCTTAGACACCATGTATTAAATATTTATAAAATTTAAGCATTTATCTATTTATTACTACAATTCTCTTTTTAATACACTATTTTAAAATTAATCAAAAAACTAGCCATCGAAATGTACACTTATGATACAGATGATAATGACGTTAGCTTATATCGCCTGAAGTTTTAAAAAATCCATATAAAGATGATATTGTTAATAGTACCTCCATGATGTATATTATGACCCAATTCAGAATAAATATCTGTGCTAATTAAATATATTTCAATATAAATGAAAATAAGGTTTTTGGATACACTGCGATTTTTTAATTATTAACTGTGATAACGGTTGCTATAAAGAAAACGAAACATTCGTATTATATTTGTAGAAAATAAGAAAAAACGTATGACACAAACCTTAGTTCAATTTAAATGAGTACACGAGTTAATCTTACATATAATTATATTCAAATATAAATCGGTGAATCGAATACGGTTTCGTTCGTCTGAATCATAAATACGTTCTGTCACAATATTATGAATTACCATCATGCCTTTTAATTGGACGTACGTAAATTCTGTTTTGAGTTCCCCCGGGATATGTATATACTTAAAACTTGTTTCATTACCATCAAAGGGGTATCAACTAATTGATGGTTTATTGTATAGTACTGTCTGCCAGCGGTTACGCTTGCGTAATTATTATTACCACATCAAATTTGTTTTTTTGTATATAAGTTTTTTTATGTTGTTATCTATACAATATATACATTACAATTTTTATGATTATAGATATTTTTTTATTGGGGAAACCCAAATACATTTAATTGTAGATAAGAAAAACATTATAAAAATATTGATTCAACAGGCAGTCAATGTATTGGGGAGAACATTAATAAACAAATTATATTATCGTCAAGTGTTCACGAGGACGATGAAAAATTTACAATTTAAATTAAATTTTTGACATTACTTTATTATAATTGTAACGAATGTTTTTATTTTTAGATCTACTTGTACACAAAATTGTTTTGTATTAAAACAAATAATTTGATATTACAAATACATATTGCATAGTTTCTTTATAACTTAATTATTTCGAAATAGTGAAAGAATATCATATTCATATATAAATTTAAAGAAAAAGTTTAGAAAACTGAAACAGAAACAATAATAAGATTAAACTTATTATCAGTTATACAAAATCTCTGATAAGAATGCAAGGGTATCCTAAAAAGTCAACCAAAATAATGATAAAGAATTACCTACAACAATTTCTATAAACCGAATTCAAATTTGTTGATTATAAAAATTAATTTCTGTTATTCATTAACATTTTTAATTGGCATGCATTATCGGAACGAAAAAGGCCAGTGAGTGGCGCTCACAGGGGTACGATAACGTAGGTCCGTCTCGAATTATTTCGGCGGTCTCAGATAAAACGTATGAATTATTGGACTAATGAGAACAGCTTACAGCACTGAAGGCTAAGACAACGCTCTGATAACTAAACTAAAGAACGCATCGACATATAGACGGAGAATTAATTAAGAATTTACATTCGACATATATTTTAGGAGAAACAGCTTGTAATCGAAATGCCTACATCAAATTCACATACTGATAGTGATGCTTCAACAATTGGTATACTAATGTGTTATCAACGTTTTTTAATTCGCTAAATAAATAGTACATAGAAACAAGATAATTTAATACTTTTAAAACATAAATGTTTACCATGTAAATTAACATTTGTATGAATAAAATAACAGTCTATTTAGTACGTGGTTTGAGCAATTGAATTGTATCCAGTGTATTTAGAGTGGATATAACTGCGAGGTAAACGTTAATAGTTATTTCAAGTTAAACTCATTATAGGAATAATTTCGATATGATGATCAATCAGCATTTATAATCAACATCTAGTAGTATATATTACATAAATAATACGATATAACATATATATATATAACAGAATCTTGTGTTAGTAATTATTAAACTATTTATAACTCAAGAAGCGCTGTTGGGATATCGTTGAAATTTAAAGAAACGGATATAAGATATTTATTTCTGTTTATTCGAAAAAAGGAAAAAAACTTAATAAATTCCAATATTTGGTTATCAACGGCTTCTAAGACGGAATAAAATTCGTCCGGTTAGTTACACATATATTAACAATTCCGAAATTAACGCGGACGTAAACGCGGGGAAAAACTAGTATATTATATATTTAAGTTTAGACAATCATAATATTCGAACTGGAGTATGCGAGGTTTTTTCTCAAGAGTATGAATGTCTCGTATCCTAAAAACCCGAAGCAAACAAGTAAGTCAATGAGTACTTTGAAGTCGAGCTATCAGATGTTGAAACTAACCGGTCCCAGGTGATACAAGAATGAAGGATTGATTCTCGAAACAATCACTCGTAATAACCTAACGTTAGGTACTTATAATACATATATACAGGGTGACTGGTGAATTACTATCAATATTTAAGGAGCATACTCGGTACATGATTCTCATTCGAATTATGTAAAAAAAATATTCACTTAATTTTTGACAAAATTTCCGTATAAATAAATAAAGTGTTGACACGTTCCAAGTGTTCCTAGTGTGGACGCGTGCGGCGGCGTGCTGATACAACACTACGCCGCCGTCCGCGTATGTGTGAGTGTGAGTGTATACCTAATCTGTAGGGTGTTCACACGACGCGTAATTAATTACATAACTTTTGGTTAACTTTACTTAGAGGTTTATTAATATTTATGTTATATTCATTTTTATTTTGTCATATATGATCGTCAAATATCACGTCCTCAAGTATCGATAGTAATTCACCAGTCACCCTGTATATTACTGTGATATGTGGTTAAAATATACGTAACATACTTAATATTTAACAATAATAAATAATAATACAATTATGTTTTATGATAATCGCAAAGTATTCTATTAATATAAGTATAAAAGTTTATTACTTAATTTTGAATGAGTTCATTTGTACTGCATCACGTATTTTAAACAGATGATTTGTAATCATGAATCAATTTGAGATATCGAAACTTGTTTGAATCAAAATTTTAATATATCTACAAAGATTTTTATTTGTACATCTGTAAATAAATATGATTCTAGATTAAGAAAAACAACAGCTATTTGGAATACCTTTATTTAATCCGTTTTTCCAATTATAGCTATAACGTTCAAATAATACATTTTGCGAAACTTTTGCTATTTAGTATATAAAATAGAAAAATTTTGTAGACTTTTTAAAAAGACTTGTATTCTAAAGCATTGTGTAAGGAGTATCTTTGTAATTCTTTCCATTGATTTATCGGAAAATTGTAGCGAGCAATCGAATGCTGTGTTTAACGAACTGATTCCTAAAGTCCTTTCTAAAACACTGGAAGAGCTTAAACCATCTGGGTATCTAGGTTTAATGATTGCTGAAGAAATCTCTGATCTTCTATATTAAGAAGATTTCGAATTTAATTAATTCAATAAACTTCTTTAATGAAAAATCTGAGTCTAATATCATTATGTATTTTTCTTGCTTTTATATGTATGTTTAAATTAATTTCTTATTATTTGTATTTCGTTTGTTTGTTACGCAATATATTATTCTCTCAAATATTTTTAACAAAACACATATTTTAACACATTCAACGACCCACCGACCTACTATTATTGCTTAGCAATATCTATTCTAGGGCACTCTCTCGTGCTAATAGTTTGCACTAATTGTGGACTTCGTGTACGCAACCAAAGCGGTATTTCACATATGTCTATTAAAGTTGTGAATTTAATATAGCTCTCCACCTGTATCATTTTAAATGATATAATAGAGTTATAGAGTTTATACTGATATTATATTTTAGGAATCATATCAATTTTGCAGGAAATTTTTAATATAATTGACATATAACTAAGTAAGTAAACTACTATCATAGCATTTCTCCTTAAGAAAAAAAACTTATATTATGAATTTTTAAGTTACACTAATATTTTCGTATATATTTTTCTAAAAACTATATACTGCTGAAGTTTCGGTTACGTCGCAGCAACCGTGATCACGGACAGACGAGATGTTCGCATCTAGTAATCCGAAAACTATTAGATTCATTTAAATAAATAGTCGCACAAGTCGTAGATCTTATTAATTGGTTTTAAATTTTCATATAAAAACTGTAATAAGAACATGAGCCAATCATTTGTTTTAATTTTTTCTGTATTAATATAATATTTACCTTATTGGATGGATTTATGAGTGCGTAAGGTAATCCAGTGGGTGTCTCGAAGGCTGGCAGTAGTGCGTCAGCTACCTCAGCAGCCTTGTCACGGAACACAGCATCCCCTGTCAGCGCGTAGCAGGAGAGGAGACCACCTACGAACCTGATGGTAGTCTCGAACACAGACAGATCCGAGTCCTGATGGTACCACCATTTATTACATTATAATGTGATAAATCATACACGCTATACAAATTCTGAGATAAAACACTTGCTATATATAAAATTCTCGTGTCATAATATTCGTTCCCGTACTGCTCCGAAACGGCTTAACCGATTCTCATGAAATTTTGTGAGCATATTGAGAATCGGCCAACATCTATTTTTCATACCCCTAAGTGATAAAGGTTGTTCACTCTATTTTTTTAATTTTTTTTAATGAGGTATTAAAAAATACATAAACAACTCAAAAATTTTACTTTTTTATCACCAACCCCTATTTTTATATGGCAAAACAACGTTTGCCGTTCAGCTAGTATATATATAAATATTCGGCACATTTTCCTTTCATGACGTACATTAATCTTTGAATATTCTGTAAATTCTATGATAATAAAGTTAACAAAGCTTTTATCACCTGAATCCCTTGTTAACAATTCTAAGGTGACAGCCGAAAATATGTATTAAATTGCCGGGTACAAAAAACGTACTTTCAACTAATTAGTATTCGTTAGGTGAATGGATTTTGAAATTAAAACAAATAAGTAATCAAAATAACTGCTATTTTAATGTTGTCGTATATTTATTATGATTTATGTATACAATAGACAATTTTATTACAAGAAAACCGTTAAATGACGCTGCATATTATGCTAGTTTAATAAATTTAAAATAAATATTTATTGAGCATACATACGCTAACGTAAAGCAAAGACATTAAATTCGTAAAACATTTTAACAGTCTAATAACATAAAGTGCGTTATAATATTTTTATTACATTGTAAAAATAATAGAGAACATAACCTACATTCTCAGTTCAGTTTTACAGCCAAGCTGTGGTTAATTTAATTTGCAATGTCGCCCTAAATTCCTATAATAACGTACGTTAAATGTTACGTAGGGAGAGATTATGATAGGGGAATTTTGTGAAATTTCATCATTAAATCGATTAAATTAAAATATATAGAATATAATTAGTTTCAAAGCTATTTCCAATACGTTTGTTTATCTCCAATATAACATGAAATTTAAGTATGATCTTTTTTAATACAATTATCGATTGAGTATGCACTATTCTAGTCAATGTAAATGAAATTAATATTTTCGGATTTTACTTAATTATTTTTGATTATAAACTACATACTCCCGACTTTTCGGCTACTTTTCAGCAACCGTGATCACGGGCAGACGAGATGTGAGTGTCCGAAATAAAAAAAAAATTCGAATATATTAGTTTCATTTAAATGAGTACTTAGATGTTATTAGTCAATGTACTTACAATTTCATTGATGTGGAAATGCTCAGCTATCCAGTCTCTACCTTCCCTGAACTCATCTATCAGTCCCATGACGTAGAGTGTGTCCATACCATCAACTATGGTAGCTCCTAAATCCCCACCTCCAAACACACTGGTCAGATGAGCTCGTTTAGTCATCGGTTTCAACTCATTCTTACCCCACGCGTACAACTTGTAGTTGTTCCAAGCGTGACGCATCATCTGAAAGAAAAAAAGTATTGTTTACATTAAAAATTTTGGAGCAATCCTTTTTTAGTATGAATAATTACGTGTAAATAGATTGCATATATTTTTAATACCACAAGAAGATGATGCAAAGAGTTTTATATATTTCTTATTGCATTATCTTGACTGAACACGTAACAATATTCGGGTATGTTAGGGTAATCGTGGTCATTATATTTAACATAAGTCTTCATATATTATATGTAGTTTATTATATATATAATGAGCAGAACAATCCCCAGATGCCTATCTTTCGTTTGTTAAGGCGGATGTAATGATCTGTCCCCTGTATGTTCACACGCAACTGATTACGACTCACGCCTATTTTTAATATCTATTATATTTTCCTTAACACTTGCTCCGAAGTTTTTCTTATTACAGACAAATTATACATTTATATAAAATAATCAGATGTATGATGATTATATAGGAGAAGAAATTCCAAATAATCTTAAGAATGATTTCAAAATTGAGAAGTTTAATTTTATTCTGAGTTAACTCTCTTGTTACTTTAATCTTTATCGTATATATCGAGTTTAGATTTTTTATTTGTTAACTACTTAGTTTAACTAAGTATCCATAATAATAATGGCGTATCTGTTATTGGCATAGCGACAATATGATTTTTATTGTGGTATCAATTCCACTATTCACAAGATATATATGCTTACTATATGTGAGCTAAAACCAAAACCATATTTAAGTCATTCTCATGACGGATAAATATTAATAATATTAATGAAAAAAATATTATCGACAATAGATTATGAAACGTTAAAATTAAATGCAGCAAATTATAGATTTTATATTCAGGTTATGTTAAACGTAATATCATAAAAATTTATCGCAACAAGTAAGTATTTATAAAAAGCATAATATACTTTCAGTGTATACGCTTGGAGTGTAAGCGTTATAGTTTCTATAAACGTACCTATATTAAAAATAAAATGACGTGTAGCGAGTCATGAATGGCTAGTAAAAAGCAGTATGTATTTTTACTTTGTACAGTGTACACATTTCTCTTTATAAAAGTTTTTGTCAAACAAACATTACTCTGCGGCAGAGCGTCCACGTTCTCCAAGGCTCCGAGGAAGTAAGAAGACGTCTTTTTATAAAGCTTTCAAAGACGTTACCCCGAGGCTCAAGTTTTAATCTCACAGCTCCGCTCCGAGACCGAAGACTAATGAAAGGATATCGTACTTTCTGCGGGGCCATTAATTATTATTAGGTTCAGACAACTTCGCCGAGTGTCGCCAATGACTCGGAAAAAACTTAAGACTTTACCAATTAACAGTTGAATCTCGAATGGCTGAAGTGTTGAATTAAATTAACGTTATGGGAAATCAGAACTGTTGTCACGAGTCTACGAAGCAATAATTTGATGAATATTATTGGTTACATTTATCGCGTCTACTACTGAACTCTGACACGTGGTTCATTTGAATAAAGAAATGTGATAATACATATATATAGAATATTTACGACACATTTCAAAACTAGATCAATCTTAATTGTAACAATCCGAGTAATCTGCCGATAACATGTTTCAAGTGTCCGCTATGTGAATATAATAAATTCAATGGAATGCGAATGTTTAATAACATTATATACTAAATAAAATATTATGATTGGTTCGTATTGTCCACGCCATACCTCTACAATGAATTGTCGCTGTTCAGTGACGTTTATTTGAGAAAAGTTTTCCAAATTTTTCATATTTCCCCATCGTGCTGACCTTTCCATACGATGCTGGGCCGAATCAGACTCACTGTCAAGTTGGGAAACCCTGACCAGTAAGAGCATAGTCACTATGAAGGACAGAGCCCCGGTCAACAACCGGACTAATTTTCGCATTTTATGATAACAACGGACAATCTTATTCAATTCCTATATGACACGACACATACACTTAATTCAGCAATCGCAGCAATATTATATATGATTTTGATCACAATAAAATATACTAATAAATTCACAGTAAATAACTTGTATTGAATATTTGTTTAACTAAATTTTATTAGACGTTAGCTCCCGACTCCGCGCCGCCGCGATTGTTACTAATCTGACTGATATGAAGTGTGAGTACGCGGACATATAAAACATCGACGTGTCCACTTCACATATAATATAACACTAGTTTTTGTCTGTGACATCGTCTGCGTGGACTTCGGAATTACTGCTAAAAAAAATTAAGTGTGTTAAAACAATAGATATGGTAAACAACAATCAGCGTTTTCTCTGCGTCAAGTGATTTAATACATGGAATTTAGGGATAAATTATATCCTACGTCTTACTTAAAAATCAAAGCTATTGTAAATTTCCATCACAATCTGTTCGGTAGTTCTATCATGAAAAATCAACAAACATCCATACATCCTCACAAACTGAAGCATTAATATAAAAAATGTAGTAAATTATCGAATATGTTTAATACTGTGTTATGGGTAGTCTTATTTAACTATTTACAATCACTTGTCTCCTTAGTTAATAATGACATTCTATTATAATTATTTAATACTAGAAGACCTGGCGAACTTCGTATCGCCCTATAATCAAAAAATATCTATTACGTTTTTTATTTATATTTTTGGAGTTTACCTGTAAGCCATAAATCTCCGTGTTTTGAAGTGCGACAGAATGATTGACATATTAGTTAGTTGTCAAATCTAATGTCAAAAAAAATGTTTGTATGGGAAATAGAAGAGGGCTGTTTTTATGGTTTTCCCAGTAATGAATCAATTTTTTTCAGCTTTTATACCTTCCCTGAACATCCACGAACATTTCAAGACTAAGATAAGATAAATCCGTTCATCTGTTCTCGAGTTTTAGCGAGACTAAGGAACAGCAATCCATTTTTATATATGTATAGAAGAAGAAGATAGAAGATAGAAGATTAAGTTATTCAGATCGCGTAAATATTTTTTGTAATAATTCACTGGCGTATTATAATATAATTCAATTTCAATATTGTTTATATTTTTAAATCATCTCAAGTACATACTTGTGAATTAATGATCTTCCCCTTCCTACTTGTCATTAATCTAAACATTTCTGTCAGTTCTCAAACATTTAACAAAGAAACAATAGAATGCTATTTAACGAATCACTTCTGCGATGAATAAAACAATACCAATTGTATTACGAATTTTTAAGATTTCCCAGTTTCCGTGGCATTTGTTTTTTGGGATAACAGAGAGTAATTTGTAATTTAAATTTCAAATTGTATATTAGATGCGGCTAACGACGAATCAATCAAGTTATAACACGCTTTTATACATACATATGTATCAATAAGATTATATATACACATGTATGTAGTAGAAGATATTAAAGTATCGCAATAAATATTAGAGAAGAAATATTTACTAAACGTATACAAGACTTTTGTTGCTTTCATATTTATTCCGTTAAAGAAACGCTGATATTTGAAATATTTGCTGGCGATATTTTATTTGAACGTTACTATTTTTTGGTAAATGATTTCATGAAAGGAGACATATTGAGAGTAATATTAATACAAAATGTCTGTATTTCTTCCAATGAATAGTCGATTAATATTTTATGTATGTTATGTGTGTGAGGTTAGGTTTGCGGAGATCGTTTCGAGTCAGGTCTCCTTAATTAAGTACTCAAGATAATGGTTGATAGTGGAACATAAAATGAGTCTGTCTGGCGATATGTGTCGAGAAGTAATCTCGGACGGTAATTAAGTGTTAGTCGAGCGGCGGGGTACAGTAAATCTGTGACTTCAGCAGATTTACTACTACAGTTCAAATGGCCACCATCTCGAAAACATATCTTAATGTTACTTAACAAACACGCTGCTGAGTTACTTTTTACTTGTTTAATATACTAAATATTTTCCCAACAAAAAATTGTTAATATTTTTTTGCTACATAAAAATATTTGTAGATTTGAGTATAAAGTTAACCTTATTATGTGATACAAATGTGTGTCATTGAAAAAAGTATTTGATCGATTTTATATAACAATATTTTATGCGACGAAGTCAGTGGTGGTGTAGTGGTTAAAGAGCCCGCCTCCCATGCACGAGGGCGCGGTTCGATCCTGTCAAGTACCAATGTGATTTTTCCGACTCATATGTACTTTCTAAGATTATTTAGACATCACTGATTAATGCATTCTCTAAGAGGGTTGATGTCGTAAAAACAATTAGACAAAACTATTCACAACATGTAAGGCAGACCCTGGCTAAAGCTGGGAAATTGCCAGGTAGAAGAAGAAGATTTTATGCGACGAATTATTATTTGCTGTAAAATAATGATTCATCCTTTCAATACTTCGCATCTCACTGTATTGAGTATTCAATGAACGATATCTTTAGACTTTTAAGTATATATAAAAACGAGGACTATTGGAATATATTTCTGGAACACATTGACTACGTAGTCCGTTAATTATTTTGAATATTTCATTAGTATTTTTTTTAATATTAGGGGCAGCACTTAAATATCACATAACGCTTTCTATAGTTACATTATTACTATTAAGCAATGCTATGTGATATATTAGAATTTAAAATACCTAATTGAATGCTTCGAACGATAGCGGTTCGAATCCCTTCGTATCGATAATGAAAATTATCGCATCTTATTTTCTGTTCCATTGTAACACAAATATCACAGTTATGTAAAAACAAACACGACTGAAACTCTCTAATATAGTTAATGAAATATTTTTAATAGTACCGACAAGGTATTACGTAATTAACATGTCAGTCAAAAAAAGAAAGATTATGTTAAATGATAGTTCTTGTAATAAAATAAAGTCATGATCAAAGCTCGTGCCTCTTCCTCCTTACACTACATACTAAACCAAGTTATACACTATACAAGCTTATTATTTATCATTTAATAATGTGACACTAAATTACAAGTATCTATAAATACAGATCTTTAATATTTAAGAACTCTTTATAATAATATAAGTACGTATTGCTTGTAAAACTTGTCGA